GTCAGAATGCAGGTTAATTGCTGAGGACATTACAATAGGTTTGCAATTCTCAGGAGATTGAAATTCTATTGTTTTGTCCCCCAGAACAAACCCTCCCAGGACTCAGTGCAAGGGAAATATTTACCGAGCCTTTGAGCAGCAAGGTGAATATTTACCATATGCACTGAGCCCTGAGTAAATATTGTTTTAGTTACTTTTAGACTTGAATATCAGAGAACAGACAAAATTCAGGACAAAAAAACCTTTTAGTATTGCTTCCATTTTGTCAAACTTTGGAAAAACTTCATAATCATGTGCCACTTAAGCAGTGAATATCAYATAATCACTAGGGGCTCGACTATTCACGGTGTGTGAAACTCTATAGTCAAGTTTAAAATTATACGAAGTATGTACATGTATACTTATGTAATAAGCTATTTATCAGGGCCGTTACTAGGGGGGAGCACAGGGTGCACGTGCACCCCCCCATAAAAGCTGAAGGTCCGCTCATCCATCCCCTTTTTTTTTGGTTCTGCTTTCTTTTGGTTTTTTTTTTTTTGGTTCTGCTGCTTTCTTTCCTTTTTTTCCCGATTTTATTCGATGTGCACCCTCCCTGTAAAAGTTCTGGTTACGGCCCTGTTTATATAGGCTGTACAAGATATATTCAAGTGCTTCTCAGTACCAAGCCTGGAACCATAGTTAATTGAGGGGAATGGTTAGGAAACCCTTTTGTTATAGGTCTTTGTTCACTTTTTTCAAGCGTGACCCTGCACTATCCTTTGTTTTACCATTGTTTTACCATTGTTGGCAATGGCCGAGTGATCAGACCAAAATCTTTGTTTTTGCTGCTACTTCAAAATACTTAAAGATTTATAAGATATATTTGAATACTCCTTATGACAATCCCATAGGCAAAGTTTATGTTTGCTTACTTTGCAATTTTGGATGAGCATAAATCAAACATTGTGCATGGTCAAGATCAGTTCAAGATCAAAAGCGAACAAAGACCTGATAACAATAAGTTTCCTAACCATTCCCCTCTATTAACTAYGCTGGAACCAAGCATTGTAAGTTGTGACCAAGTAGGTTTTGGTGAATGTCAATCAAAAGGTTTCCATGACATATTTCGATAGGCACTTGCCCTTGAAAATATGCTTCCTGACAATGTCATGAAAACACTTTGATTGACATCCTCCAAAACCTCATAATGAATTGCATAATTCCATTCACACTTTGGAAAATCACTGGCTCAAACTYGTCCTTACTTAGTGTCCTCTTCAGATGCCCTTTAAGGCCTTGTTACATGTTGAAACTTTTAGGTGAAAATCATGTGCAATGGCATTGAGAGACAAGCTTAAGAAGAAACTGCATTGTGTCACCCTTTGTCACAGCTTTGTGAAACTTGCATCGCATGAAAGTTTCGCAAAAAGTAGAACTGCTTCATGCTTATGTGTGTCGCAAACTAGTTTCAGGATGAAATTGTGCCATGTAACTCTCATCTTGAAACTTCCTTCGTCATGCCTCAGTGAACAATCCAATCAGAGCCCAACATTCCCAGTGAGTAGACAACACAACATGGTGTATGATAATAGTTCATGAAAATATTGCACCATCAAACACCCACTTGAAACTTTTCTCACAATGCTGCAGCACATAAATTTAAGCTAAAAGTTTCAATGCATTACAGGGCCTTTACATGAAGGTTGGGTGACTGTGATTCCCAGGTTTTTCTAGCTTTTAAGCATCAAGTGCAACCCAAACTCCATCTATTTCAAAAAACATCATCACTTGGAGATCAGAAATCGGAAATCTGAGACTGTACTGAACCATGAGCTGTGATTTTAAAAATAAAGGAAAGTAGTGATGATTGTTTTGTCTTTTCAATTAGCGATTTGCAACAAGTTAATATCTAAATATGTTACAGTACCACACTTTTAGCGATGACCTATACTAGGGAATATTTGTCTGAGATTTCAGATTTCAGATCTACAACTGACAACCTATTTTGAAATAATGGTAGGTGTTACTCCAAGCTGTAGTACTAATAATTCAGTAATCTATTCCTTAACTACATAGATTTACAACAACCACTTTTCCATTGTCTTACAGTTGGATCTGGAGTTTCACCAACACTGATGTTACCACTTGATGATAAATCCTTCTCCTTCTCCAATCTTGTTTCCTTGTTTTCATTTAATAATTCCTTTGCCATTGAGTCTAACAGTCCATCTATCCCTTCTCCAGTTTTAGCAGAAATTTGAAATACATTGGAACAGTTGTGGGAATCAGAAAACATTTGCATACTTTCTAGGCTGACCCTGCAATCTAAGTCAATTTTGTTGGCAACAACAAACTTAAAGGCATCTGGGCAGAATTCGTTAGCATCGCGTGTCCAGTGCGTAAGATATTGCAGTGAACCTGGTTCGTCAATACCAAACATCAAAATACAGGCATGCGCACCTCGGTAGTAGTTCTTTGTTACTGTTCGGAATCGTTCAACTCCAGCAGTGTCCCATACACTGAGCTATCATTGTGCAAAGATAAAAATGTCAAGTTAATGTAAGGAACGTAAGACCTTATTAGAATACATTTCAGACCATGTGTCATTCTCTTGAGTATCATTTCTTTGTTTATAATGGCTGGGTATGGGAAAACAAATCAATATAAATGCCACTCAAAAAATGAATATTATTCTCAACAAAATGACACGTAGATTGAAATAAAGGCAGATACTACCACTACCAGAATCCCTTGCACACTTTCTTGCAAAGAAATACAAATTTTAATAAGAAATTTATGAAGTTATGAAATCCATATAGCTCCCTGAACCCATCAATTAGTCTAAATGGTCCCTTGTTACTACATCTATTCATTTATGCCAAGGCTCTATTGAATAATTTAAATTGGTGCTTGATAGTTGAAGTACAAGATCATGATTCTGGTACTGCATAAGTTACATAAGAAGCGACAAGCAGCCATAAATAAAACAAGCTTACTGAAGTTTGTGATTGTCAAACAAAACGAAACAGAAAATTGAGTACACATAAACTGTACACATATATCTTAAATACTCTCTTAAATCTTAAGCTTAGATAATAAAGCTTGAAAAAACTGTTGTCAAACATTATAATTTACATGTTTCATTAGACAAAGTACTCTCATGGGAATCTATTCTTACTCAGCTCATTCTTACTAAATAAATTTAATTTTAGTCGTAAAAAACATTAGATCGAATAAATAAATTAGGATTCTTTTACACTAAAATTTTAAAATAAATTCAATGAGCTTATTTATACTTACCGTGACTTGTTTGTCGTTCACCTTAAGGAATTTCGAGCAACTGTCAACGCCTATTGTATTCCTCCCGTTTGAAATGAAAGTATTTTCTTTTATTCTGTAAAATAAAGAGGTTTTTCCTACACCTGCTTCGCCAAGAAGAACGACTTTGAACATCGGTCCTCGTTCGTCTATCAAGGCCGCCATTTTGCTTCTTGTTTCAAAGGTCGAACTACCCACTCTCCCCTCCCTGACCAAACTATTGTAAATCTACTAAAGTATCTCGTGACAGATAAGTATGACGTCAATTGCAATAAAAAATTTAAAATAACAGAAAATAACATAAATAAACGAATGAAAGAAGACAGTAAGAAAACTAAAATATCAGCCCGATAGTATTTATAGTAAATTTTTTGGGGTAGTAATGAAGAAATAGTAGACTGGCGGATAAGTGATGATGATGATGCGGATGATGGTGATGATCACGATCATAGCCAATGAATAGGAAATATAGCGTAGTGTACACAATTGCAATCAATAACATATTGACGATTTCTCTCGAAGCCGGAACGAGCTTGCGCGTGTAGCACTAGTACGTATTCATCTGGAATGAGCCCCATTGCTTGCGTTGCCACACCCATCAAATCCCAGACCCGTGGCCAATAGATGATGCAGATGACAAAAATGAAAAGAAAACATCCTGTATATTCCAAAAGGAGGAAAACCTTCTCTCGTGATACAGGTCTGTGCAGCTATAAACGAGCAAAGCCAATCTTGACAAGCATAGCGATCTGGACTTCGCCCTATCGACCCATTATTATTTCCCCCAGGCCCTTGGGAAGATACCACCATTTCAGATCTGATCTCTCGACTGTCAAACAATGGCGACTCCAAACAGTACTGCTGTTCCCTTGTATAAAGTCGTGCTGGTAGGAGACATAGGAGTAGGAAAAACATCCGTTTATACCAGATACCAAAAGGATTTCTTCGATCCGATCAGAACCCCAACATTCGGGGTTGATAATTTTATAGAAGAGCTATACGTGGACGAGAAACGATGCAGGGTAAGATAAAAAAATATATAATTCGTTGCTGTTTTGGAGCTCAATTTGTTTCAGTTTATACATGGTATTGTGTACAGTAAAGATCCTTTGTTTCCTAGCTTTTCAGGGTTAAATGCATGACTATAGATCGACATTTTGATCTTAAAATAAGCACATAATTGACGATTTGTTGTGTCATTGGTTGCATGAAAATATCACTGATCAACAGAGCTGAAGAAAGCGTCCATTTGTAGATATTTATATGTGAAGTCGTTTTAATTCTCTATTGTAACTCAAACCAGCTTTTTTWAAAAAAATTGCGGTTTATTTTGTCTGTAAGACGATGCTTCATGAAAACCCTATAGTGCTCAGCTGATCTCAGTATGAAATTCTGAGAAATTTACATTGTTCAAAATGAAACCAAAACAAAATATTATAAGTTTGTGTTGTTGTTCTCATAGGAAATAAACGGAAGTAGATCAAATAGGCCGCAGTTTTGATTTACTTACTTATCATTTCCTTGCAATATTTAAATATGTTACAATTTATTTAACTCTTTTATCTTTATTTGAAGTCTGATAAAGTGAAATTTACATTGTTCAAAATGAAACCAAAACAAAATATTATAAGCTTGTGTTATTGTTCTTTTAGGAAATTAAGTAGATTGAAGTCTGATAATTGCTTTTTTCTATATCGATCCTTTCCCAGATGACTTACTGTACTATTTATTAAGAACCTTGTTAGTTTAGATTATTCAGTTTCTATGTATATATTTATAACTTTTGTTATAAAATTTTTTATTAGTTGATAACAGCTTCAATATTGATAATAATAGTTATAATAAAGTATTAAGACATCTTTGATGACCCAGTAGTTTACATAATGGCCTTCCTAATTAATAATTCTAATTAATGATTATTGGCAACATTATTTTGAAATTGTTGACATTTTTGTTTGTAGTTAAACATTTGGGATACAGCTGGACTAGAGAGAACTGGTTCCCTTACTTCCCACTACTATCACTCAGCACAAGCAGTTGCCTTACTTTATGCAGTAGATGAATTAAACTCCTTGAATATCATCTTACACTGGATTGAAGATGCTGAACGTTATGCTCCATATGCAGCGAAATTTCTTGTAGCAAATAAAATTGACTTAGATAAGGATGACTGGGAGGTGGAAGAAATGAAGGCACAGCTATTTATGGAGAGTAATAACATAATTATGAAGTACAATGTTTCAGCAAAAACTGGAGAAGGCATCAAAGAGATGTTTGAGGACATTTCTCGGTATTTAATGCAACAGAAAGTAGCACCAACGATGCCTCATGGTGACCCATTTCATCTCTCTCATGAAGATTCATCACTTGATTTACGAAAGCAAAAGCAATTTAGCCTGTGCAGCTGTTAGTAATAATAATAATAATAATTTTATTCTTAAGTATAGAGTGTAGTTTCAAAAAATGTCCATACTTTTAAGAACTGGCCAATGCCATTTGCTTGAGCTAGCACTCAGGAGCGAGTCCAGAGGCATATCAAGTGCAGGCAACTGTCCCTCAAAAAGATTGACTTAGAAATTAAAATCTTTCTTTTATCCTATTTTATTGGGCTACCTGGATTTGGCAAGACTTTTTACACCTTCACCTCTCCAATTCTGGTACTTTTGTTGTACCACCAAGTGATTGTTGCAGAATCCAACCTTCAGGATTATCAGCAATGAATATCCTAGCTAAATCACCTCAAGGATTCCACCCTCCAAAGTATGAGCATTTTCTGGAACTTAATAATTTATAATTTACTTGGCACTTAATTTGTTGATGTTGATGTATCGACCAAACTTAGGCTGCGTAGCGGTACATTTTGGTGGGATTGGGGCTGGGGAAGAGGGGCCCTTGTCTCCTTCTCCACAGGCCCTGGCCACCTTTCTCCCTCCCCCTTTCCCCTAATTTGGGCTGCTACTCAGGCTAACCTAAGCAGGAGATTGAAATAAAAGAAAAAACCCCAAGACTTAAGGTTAGTTAAGCATTTAGTAGCAAGCACTGCAGGGCAGGGGGGGAGGGGCTAGGTGCTTTGGTCTCCACAATTTTTGCTTATTTTTAATAGTTTTTTCAGGTCAATTTTTAGTCATATGCATACTGTATCACACTTTTGATTTCCTATTTTAAGACCAGATGGGTGCCATTTTCTAGGTTATTATTGTTTTCTTTTCCAACATAGAAAAAAGTAAGAAAGAGGTAAGAAATCGAAAGAATTCTGGATAAATGTTGACAATGGGTGAATGTTTGACTCAATCTAAAGAGGGGACTAATGTGTATGTTATGGTTTTGGATGGAAGTGGGGAATGGGGAAAGAAGTGCGGAAGCTTGATTTCGGATCTAGCTTATCGACATGAGCAACAGGAAATAGTTTTGCATTATATAAGAAATATATAATGCACAAGCAGTACCCTTTTGCTGATTTAACGCAAGGTTATTACACTTTTTATAAATATCATATTTCAGCATGTTTAGAGTGCAATAATATACCTGTGAAATAGTTAGGATGAAATAGGAGATAGTTAGAGCTTAATTAGACAAGACATAGGAATTCAGTCAGGCATGACAAGGGCACAGGCGTGACAGCTCAATACGCAAATGAAAAGATATGAAAATGCGAACATGTAAAATTATACTAAGGAAAAGCATGTACGATAAAATATTGTTTCAGTTTTTGTAAGTGTTTTTAAAAATATTTAAAAATGCGCGCCCTTGAGTAGCACCTATGCACTAGTTTACCCGTCACGGCTCGCCTATTTCTTTAACTAATTAGACTTAGGCAACCAATAGCACAAAGTTAGTAATTAGTTAGCTAGCTATCTATTTCACGGGTATATTATTTGCACTCTACTGTAACTTTGACTTTATATAAACTTATGGTATGTTAAATAATATTTTACTAAGATAAATACCAGTTTGGCAAGACCATGTGCATTCAATCTAAAACAGAAAATATACTAAAATGTCATCGAATAGAGAAAATAATATTAAGAAATTTGTAAAAATATTTCAAATAAAAATATTTATCTGAACTAAGCTTTTCAACATTTGGGGGGCTGACTTTAACATCACTCRAAGAAAATTTATGAATTTATGAATTTCCTTGATAAAAAATGTATTTRACAAACCATTAGATTTTTGGAGGGAGGGGTTGGGCAAGAACCCTAAAAAAATTGGAGCACTGCTTTAAAGAGTGAAAAAAATCGTGCATAAAAAGAAAATTCCTGCACAAAATAAATTCCCCAACCCCCACCCCCCTCAAAAATCTAATTGTCCATCCCTTATCAGAACTGAACTTGGCAACATTTTAGTGGCTTCAATGTCATTCACGGAGATAATTTATTCATTCCATGTGAGTTTTGAACCAACTTTGAGCTGCAAACGAAAAAAAGCGAATACCGGTCCAATTTTGACAAAAACATTTGTAAAATACCTCAGAAAAATAGTTTAATGTGTTAGGAAGCTATTGCTTAACGAATTTTGATACAAAACACCGAATTTCAGTGGGAAAAAAAAAATTTATCTGAACTGAGTTTTGCAACATTTTAGGGGCTTCAACGTCACTCACAGAGATAATTTATTCATCTCACCTGAGTTTTGAACCAACTTTGTGGAAGCGAAAAAGAACGAAAGCAGGTTTATATATGACCAAAGCATTTGCAAAATACCTTAGAAAATTAATTTAATGTGTTAGGAAGCTATTGTTTAACGAATTTTGATACAAAACAGCGAATTTCAGTGGTAAAAAAATGTATTTATCTAAACTAAGCACTTTGCAACATTTTAGTGGCTTCAAAGTCACTCAAATTATAGAGATAATTTATTCATTCACATGAATTTTGAAGGCATTTTAGTGAGCTTCAAGTCAAAAGTGCCAAAATGTGTGTATTTTTTTCTTGAAATGGTTAAAAAAATGACTAAGAAAATGAGAATTCCTTTTCGTAAAACTAGTCTCTCCTGAATTAATTGCGCAAATGTTTTGCTATGGAAAGAGATTTGTCACATAGGGAAACGTGTCATAAACACTTGCTCAATCGTTATGCCCTCACAACTTGTCGCGCGCCTAGCTAGTGTCTCCTGAAATTGCGCAAATGTTTTGCTATGGAAAGAGATCTAGATGTGTCACACAAGAAGATTCGTCCTATACGCCTTGTCAATCGTTATGCCCTCACAACTTGAGTGCCTAGTGTTCTGAACTTGCGCAAATGTTTTGCAACCTCTTACAAGGTCGTGCTCGCTTGGTGCCGCAAGGAAACGGTATGCGATTGAAAGAATTCATTGAGCCAATCACAGCCCCGTGGATCAAGATTCCGTTATATCACGGCAAAGAAAATCACAGAAACTTCTTTTGCGACCAGTGTACACGCGCATCTTCTATAGAGCTTTTAAGCTGTGACGTATTCTACGYCTTCAACAACTAGATATATGAAAAGAAAATCCTGCTATGAAGAAAAAACATAGAAAAATGACTGTAAAAGTAATAATCAATTTGCACCCGGAAGTCGTTTTTTTTTTTGGTTCGAATTACGTGACACTAGTACTTAACAGCTCGATTCTCATGCTACGAAATGACTCAAACGAAATTAATCCTTTACTATGCAACAGATCTCGTTCTGAAACACATCAAATCGAGGCTAGCAGGACAAAACCTGGCCTATTAGCATGTGACTAACGCCTTTCATTGTCTATCATGTAACAATGAAGTCTTTGGCTTCGGCCATTTTGAAATCAGAAGCCATTTTATATTTTTACTTCTCCTGTCAYATTTAATTTTCTGTAACTAGTCGCCTCTGGATCGAACTGTTTTTCGTTGATATAGTTTAATACTCTTTAGTTCTTAGAACTGTTAATGAATTCTTTTTAGATCGCGCGAGCTCAAGAAAAGTAATGTACTATACTAATGGTTTGGAAAGTTTAGCAATTACTTACCAGTACTAAATAGATAGCATTCAATTTGTTCGAAGTTTGCTCAGCTTGCACGGACCTCTTTATTCTCTGATAATTTGTTGGTAATCTGGATTTCATCATGATGAATGTACGTTTAGCCTCTGCAAGTCACCTTTGACCTTATGACCTTTTCTTACAAGACACACACTATTGATGGTTGCAAGCATTCTCGAGAGACAAAGACATGTCGGCCATTTTGGTGTAATTAATAATGGATGCTAAAGAGCTAGAAATCTTTTGTTAAATAGCACTTGCATGGACGCGATGACTACAGTAATCGTATGCACATATTTCAAATTAAATCTCTCTGGTAACACAGGGGATTATAATCAGTCCCTTGAGATTTTTCCATTTCAAATATTAGAAAAAGATTGACGCTTCAAAAAACACTTCAGCGACAATATATTACACCTTTTGCTGTTCATTAACAGAAAATGTACATTCATTTGTGCCAATAGTTGTATCAATAACGTGTAATGTACTTTCATCAA